ACTAGCCCTTGTGCCAGCTGGACTGCTGAAGCAGCCCTGAGAGTTCCCTGCACCCTCTAACCACTGCAGCAGTCTGGCAGTCGGGGCTGCTGCCTGGCTATGACCTGCTGCACACCTGCCAGACCTGGATGAGGCATCTGTCCCTCTGGGCCAGCTGCCAATGGGTTGTGGCTGCAGAGCTGGCCTTTGTGCAGCACTACTGCCATGTGTGCCTTCTGCCCAGCCATCTGGGCAGCTATTGCCCAGAAGATGTTCTGGGTGTGGTGCCCTGCTTTGAACTGTCAAAGCCTGTCCTCCTGGCCCCAATTAGCCAGGTGGTCAGCCACAGCCAGCTGAGTCCAAGGTGCCAGCTCTGAGCAGGCAGGGTCCTGCCACTGGAATTCCCTACCAGGAATTCTGGTGATCCCTATTGGAAAACTGAAAAATCCCTGATAAAAAAATCCCAAAGTCACTCTGTAAAATACAGGCAGTCCTTGACTTACATTTCGAGTCACATCGTTTTGCACTTATAATGTTTATAAATTAACACCCTGTTTGCTAGGTCTTGGAGTGGCTGCTAAGACTGTTGGCTCTGTCTACCGTTGTACAGTGGAGGCTGCAAGTAAATATTAGGGCCAAAAAATAAAACCTGCATTTTCTAGCTTTGCTGTTTGTCTCTCTCCCCTTGTGTGCATATCTGTCATTTTTGTTTTCAAGGAAGACGTGACAGACTCCAACAAAAGTTCTAACTGCCATTCTGGCCAACTCAATGACCTTTCTTTGCTTCAGGTACTAAAGCTAAACTATTCCAAACAGGGGTTTCTTCATATTAAAATTCTACAAGTAAAGGGAATAAAAGTAAGGAATGATGTTAAATTAAAGTTTTACTTAATGTTTTATCTTCAAGTGTTTTAACCACTTCCCCCTTTCTTTCTGAACTTTTTTTTAAAAAAAGGTAAAAATGGTTTTTAATGGTGTTTTTTTGCCATGAACTAGCAGCGCATTGTACCCCTACATCCCAAGCCGCAATCACCACTAATACTATAACGCAAGGTTGACCCCTGTGTGTCAGATGGTCCTCACACACTGCCTGCAGAGCCAGCTTGGCACATGTGTTGGAATCAGCATAACAGGCTGCTTACAGCTGTGGCAAAGACTTTTTAAAAACTCAGTGCTTTACTTTAAGCTTGGCATGCGTCCATGCCAGGGGCAGCACACACCCAGAAGCATCACATTACTTGAACCCAGCTTGTCCAACATCTGTATAGATCGGGCACGTTAGAGGGGTGTTTTGGTGCTTTTATCTAATAGCTGATTCAATCAGCTATTAGTTGTGGAGCCTGGTCCAACTAACGCGTTTCCTCTTCCAGTAAGCACCACTTGGTTTAAAAGGGCACTTAATGCAGCACAGGCTCTGTGCTAGTCTTGTGCAGCATGCAGTGTGCATGGCTCGTCTCAGCCCAGCATGCAGCACCCTGCCAGACTGGCCCCACATGCTGGCTTCAGTGTATGGTCCTGATCCAGCCTGCAGACTGGCCCAGCAAACTTCATGTGGCCTGTGGTGCTGGATGAGTATGACACCCATGCTGTGCAGGACTGTGTTAACATACATTTGAATAGGCAAATTTAGTTCACCGATATTAATAAAAGTGGGTATCCTTGAGACTGACATTTTCTAGATCTCTTGTATCTGCAGTGGTCATAATACCTAGAGTCCCTATTTGGGACTAAGCATGTAGGGATATTGAAGGCAAGGAAGGGATTACTCCTTCTCAAGAAAAAGGAGAACACATTTTCCCAAGGTTCTAGGGTGTACCACAGGAAGCTCCCTTATATATGCGCAATAAAATTGTTTAGCCCTGGATGGGAAGAAGCAGCGAGTCTGTAGCAGTGACTCAGGAAGAGAAAATATTATGAAATTACTCAGTACCATGAACCTCTCTGATTACAAACTTGGTACAATGAGCAACACTGGAGGTGGCATGTGTCAAAGATATGGACTCAGAGTGTGACACTGAAATTGCTATGTTAATACAATTGGTTCAGTAGGGAAGGCAGCATGAAACTTCTCTTTTGCCAGTACCACATCTTGGAGGCCACATCTTTAGAGAGCCAAAGGAACAAATCTTGGGCTTTATTCTACCCTCACAGAAGGCAAGGGAAAGCATTTTTTGCTTCCTACTAAGCCCATAGGAAGGCAATCCATTTCACAGAGCAGTGGTTTCTATTCCTTGCAGTGTATAAGGACAAGGACATGATTACAGGTGTAACTGAGGAGAGATTTTTTTAAAAGGTGTCAACAGCCTGCACTCACTGGAGCACGTTCTGTAAGACTATTTACATTCCAGGAGAATCTTGTTTATCCAGATCCGTGTCAGATCTCGCCGACTTATCAAGAAAGGGTTTCAGATGAATTTGTCTTGCTGCTTGTGCTTGTTTAGGAAATGAACAGTAGATGACAAGACAACAAAACAAGCCTCCGGGACACCCAGTGCTGTGGGGACCACTTACTTCACAAGGACAATATTTAAAACCCAAGCCGAAAACCTTGGGTTGAAATGTGGTACTGGCAACAACAAAATTCCAACTTGAACATGAAGTGCCATTTCCACACCCTCAGCCATCCTGCTTTTCTTTCCCCACGTTTTACATGAGTATGATGAAAAACTGAGTAGTAGTATTTACTTTGTTTTGGATCCATGCCTACCTTTACCTTTAATCTATATCCCATTCTCATTGCATAGAAGCCCCACTTCTTTTATTTTTATTGTATATTCCTTTATTATGGTATAAAAGAACCTTCTATTCAATTTCTTTTGCAAGGTTTAATTCAGTCTAACATTTAACAACTTTCACTGATCTGCCAAGACTTAGCTTTCTTTGGTTTTTCTCCATTCCTTGTTGGTTCTCTGCTTACTCCTACTCCTTCTTAAATTATTATTGCAGGGTTTGGCAGCCTTCCTTTGGCAGGGTTTGACTGCTGAATTTACAACCTGACAATGCTGGAAGAGGGCCAATGTGGTGCCTATCTTCAAGAAAGCGAAAAGGAGGACCCAGGGACTTACAGGCTAATTAGTTTGACCTCAATCCCTGGCAAAATCCTGGAAAAAGTGATCAAAGAATCCATTATTGACAGGCTAACAGAAGGCAGTATTCTAAAGGTCAGCCAAAATGGCTTTGTTGAAGTTCACTTCAAATTGGACACAAGGAAAAACTTCTTTAGACGTCAAGTGCCAAGGGTCTGGAACAGACATCCCCCAGAGGTGGTACAGTCACCTACCCTGGTGATCTTCAAAAAGTGTCTTGATGCCCACCTTGCTGGGGTCATTTGACCCTAGCAGTCTTTCCTGCCCAAGTGCAGTGGGGCTGGACCTGATGATCTTGTAAGGTCCCTTCCAGTCCCTAACATCTGTGAATCACTGGAAGTGGGAAACCTCCATCTCTTCTCCCCTTTCCCTCTGAACAGCTGGCTGCCAGATTCTCTGCTGCAAGGGTAAGCTTAGATGTGGAGCAGCAGGCTCCACAGTGAAAGGGAGCACTGTGGAGCAAGGGCGGTGTGGCGCAGCTCCATGAGACCGAACGTCCATGTTGAATCAGACCTTTTCATGGGCTGGATCTGGCCTATGAGCTGTAGCTGTGTACCTTCAATTTGTCCAGTCAGATCTTGGACTTTTTCTACAAGTTTTCTCCCCTTGCCTGGGATAAAAATACCTGCACCTCTGAAAAAGAAATGTCAACCCTACATTCAAGTTGTTGAGGTCTTCAGACCAGCTGACTTCACTACTTTCCTTAATTATTAAAATCTGCCCCTTTAAACAAAGAATCTCAATTACAAGCCTTTTTTTCTTCTATTATTCAATTTAAATCAAATCAACTTGACCCAAGGTTAATTTTCTACATCCAGCTCTTCTATGATATACCTGCTACTTCCAATTACAGGTTGACCCCATGTACAAAAAGTACGACTTTTAATGGATCTTTTGAAAGAAAGAGGTAAACTTATAATCAATAAGTACCCTTGTGTCTGCTTTTAATCAGCCTTATTTCTTTAGGGTTCTGTTACCAGGCTGTATCTATTAACCATTCTTTTTTTTTTTTTTTTTTTTTTTTTTTTTTTTTTTATTAGTTCTCTCTTTTGCCCTTTACTTGCAGTCATTTACTTCCAAGGATCGCTTTTCTGGTGTTTGCCAACCAGGTCTTCTTTCAGCAGGTGTCTCTGAAATGCATGTGTAGTTTCCTGTCCTCAAATCTTCACAGAAGAGCTGAATGTGTTTTTCTAGTTCTTAGATCTTTTCTTTCATGAGCACTTCAAAACTTAACTGTTTCAGTCAAATACCTAGTGAAAGGTTGTAAAAGGAACATCCTAGAACATCTGCAACATCTTCAGGGTCTCTACCACTGCTGCCTCTTCCTTGTGTCTACTTTTAAAGAAAATTTAGAAGAAAACATCCCATGGACATCTCTCCAACTTCCATTCCAAACTTTCCTCTTTGCTGTTTTAGCAGTGTTACCTCTCCTCGTTGCCTGGCTTTTCAGCCCTTTTACTTAAGAGTATGAACATATAAAAAGCTTACTCCATAGTGAATGAAAGCTAACCCCACACTGAGGACTAAACTGCCACAAGCCAGCTTTCACTTGCCAAAAGATAAGAGCATGTACACAGATAGTGACAAAGGAACAACTTAAATGCACTAAATCCTCATCCCCTTTTACCTTGCAGCAAATTGTTCATTTGCTCACCTTTTCTTCACATTTAGGTTTGGTGCTTAACTGTTCACCTGTGATCAAAAGCAGGAACCCTCCCTTTTCACCTGGGACTTGGATGCCTGCACTACTTACAACATAAAATATCTCAAGAAGATGTACAAACCTTCCACAGTATTGCACCAAGCAGCAAATTCCCTTATTCCCAAGTTTCATGCAGACTCCAAAAGAAAGCCATAAGCTGTGGGTGGCAATTATGTTTCAATTAGACAAGAGTAAAGAAAAAAGAAAATGCAATGGCTGCATTCCAAACTTACCATTTGGTGGGTCCCGTCTCTTTTCTGTTCAAAGAAAAAAAAAAAAAAAAAAAAAAAAAA